GTTTAAATATTAATCATCAAAACATTTTATCGTGTTATTATGGAAGTACATATAAGAATGTGCATCATAGGAAAGCTCGTTTAATATTACCAAGATTGGATATTACACTTTCATATTTAGTTTACTTGCGAAACGCAATAGATAGTAATTATAACGAAAAATGGAAACAAAGAATGTCGGTATTCCCACGTTGGCGTTGCGGAGGTTACGCAAATATGCATTTTGTATGCAACACAACAAGCAGATAAAGAAGCTACTGTAGTGCGTGTGATACATAGTTGTATTATCGAGAATATGGTGTAACAACTGACGAGTTCTTAGTGCCCCACAGCAGTCACATTTTACCATTAACACTTTTGTACAACAAATAAAATTTATTTTATATACAAATTCTAGTCAAGGAAATTACAAGTTTTAAATAATTTGGTATACTGATTACTAAGTAAAACAATGTGAAAGCTCTCTGAATTCTATAAAGTATATGACCATTACTTTTGGTGCGAACCAAAATCGAATTCTAGTAGTTGAATTTAATCTCAATACACGTCAAATGTCAAGAACTTTGGTAATATTTTTTTATTACAATGGAAGTAACGAGTATTAAAATCTTCCATACAAAACTTCTTAACATTTGACGCGTATCGAGATCGAATACAACTATTCGAACTCGATATTGGTTCGTGCTACTGCTAAGGGTGCAGTACCCCAAGCACGAACTTTAACAGATCCGTAATCGTATCGCCATCGTCTGGACTTCATGAATTATCTCTGATGGCATTTTTCAACTTGACGAATGTATTATATAATAATAAAGGGAGAGAAAAAAACGCCTTTGCTGAGTTTCATCTCAGTATAAGGTAGATCCCGCGGCAGATTTGAGAACAGACGGCGTAGCTTATCGACCTTCACAAGACGTGCGTGTAACAGCCTAATAGACATGTTTTTTTTAGATGATTATTTGCCAGTTCTGCAAATGATCATTTCCCATTCAATGCCCACATAAACTATTCTGATGTACCTACCTCGCCAGAATAGATTCTGGTAAAGATATTTTTATTACGATCCAGATTTTTACTACCCAAACGGTGACAACGAAATCTACATACCCAAGCCTCTATTGTCTGTCCGTCTGCCTGTCAGTGCACGGTCTGTTATTATAATATTCTGTGGTTAATGGTAATAGATAGAAAGCTGAAATTTTCACAGAATATGTATTAGTAGGTAGTTATAAAACATAATGCCGTTATGAAGTATTTTTTTTTAATTAAAGTGGGCATACATGATACGCGTTTTATAACGCTCTATTGCTCGGCCTAGTGTTGATGGTACATTTATTTTTATTCAACCATAATATTACATGATATGTTTCAGACATCTTTTTACTTGCTCAGAAAGAACAGACCAAAGTACAAACTAATGTCAATATTATTTATTGATAATATGTCAACAAAGATATCGTCGCTAGCTAAGAACATAACTAGTTCACCAACCCCACCATTTCTATTCCTTCGCACGTCTATTAATAATACTCAGCTGTAATCACCTCAGCCTTCCTCCGTAACGACAAATTCCGCCAGATATCTCGAGGACTCGTCCATCCAACTTTAGCTTTATCAATTCCACTGTCACCAACGCTGCTAGCGCATCTTGCTATCTTTGTCTCATGTGGAACGCCGTTTCCACGGTTTGCCATTTCATTCGAATAACACTGTATGTCTTCAAAATTGCACTACATTAAACGATCAAACTTCACAAGTGTTTACTGCACACATTCAAACGCTGCGAAATTTAAAAACTTAAATTTACAAAAACAAGTTTCACATTCATACCGCGTATCGGCGTAAAACAACAGTCGCTTTTACGTGGTTTTATAAACTGTGCTCTTAATTTAATATCTAATTGTAACACTGTCACATTTTTTTCATCAACTGAAGGTCAAACGAAGAAAATATAATTTAGTACCAAGAAATCACATAGTTGTACTTATTTCACTATTTATAATTGAATAAGTAACATGTTTAAAACAAATGGACTGTTGTTATATGAAGCAACGTTAACGTCTGTGTCAGTTTGAGGTTAAGTTACTGGCGATACCGGTGCCGGCTGGCGGCGCGGGGCAAACATGCGCGTCGTGAAACTTACACATTAGGCGAAAAGTAAACATGAAAAAAATACAACAACTGTTACTAATATATTGTCGTATTCTACATGAAAAACAACGGGTCCTGATATAGTGCACGTGCAAATTTTCGTTGTAGTCTTAGCACAATCTTGATTTATTTCTGTGAACACATTGCTCTAATCTTGTATTGCATAAGATCACTATTTTTACACGATATTTAAGCTGCTACCCATAATACAGAATAAAATCAAGTAATAATAGTTCAATGAATAAAATAGACTTTTAAAATCAGTAAAAATAAATATATATAAATATAGTGTTCGAGTAAAAACCATTTACCTTATTGCATCGAGTGCCCGAATTCGGGTAATGTCTTTCGTGCACCCGAATACGTGCTAACGACCAAATATAAATGCGCCTTTTCGCTTAGTCGTTTGTAAGAATTCCACAGACAATCGTATTCTCTCTGTTACGATTTCATGCCTACTAAACAGCAAATTATACTAAATTTTGGGAATTACTTCATGAAAGTTTTTAGCCATCTACTAAAACTTTAATCTTAATTTGTGTTTTTTAATATCTTTTCAAGAATTGTCATTTTTTTACTTCAAAATGTCTTTAAGATGCAAAATCATATCAATAAATAATTAAACAGTATACCTATTTAATTATTTATTGATATTGTTTTCTTCATTTTCAAAAATAATTTCCATCACTTAAGACTTTTTATGTTTGTATGTAGGACAGTAAAAAAATAAGATTATTGTTTTCCACTCACTACATGAATTTTATATGCTACTACAAAAATCATTCTATTCTACTTCTTTTAAATTAATCAATTAAAGGAACACAAATTCACACCGTGTGTATAGATCCACGTTAACACAGGTAGGTACGGTTTGAGTTAATTATGGCTATAGCTATGTATGGCTGCAAAAGGATCCAGCCCGTCACACTTATGCCCACCAGACACACAAAAGCAAGGGCCAATCGTTTTCAAGAATGGTAACTTAAAAATCGATCTCTGCTATTATGAATCTTATTCATAAGTGAATAAGTCTGAAAACACCGTAGAGCTTTTATGCGGTTAGCTTTTTATAAATGGTACAGAACAATGCAAGAGGAGAACGTGCCCCAACCGCTTTTACTGGTTATTGAAAAAACTCAAACCAAATCCTTATAGGACTTATAATGAAATTACAAATGAGATTTTAACAAAAGTCTGACAATTTACACAATGAGCGATAGTATTTAATGATTATGTTGAACTTTGCCGGCGCGACGACTGTGCCGATAAGAAAACTGATAATAGAGACGATTCCTAGAAGACAGTTCGTTGTCTGTCAAACAAAATGAAAAAGGGAACCTTCACAAATAATCATCCAACGAGATATGAATGAACAGTTCAATAATCGGTTCACAATTGCACATGTACAAAGCTTAGTTATGTTACATTACTATAGTACCTTTATAATACTTAAAAAGAGAACTATGTCGGTACGTGCACCTACCACAATGATTCATCAAGTTTAAAATTAAAAAAAAAGAAACTAGAAATAATTCTAGTTTCTCATTAATCATAAAATTATACACACTTATCGAGAAGAAACATGATCGCATAGGTGCATGATAACTTGGATTGGACACAATACTGAATGAGTTCCGAGAAGCTGCATAAAATGAACTTAGGGGTATTTTCGTTTCAGGTCATGGTTCGACCGTGAAACAGTTAATGCCTGTTTAGTGAATTCGACACATGCGAGCAGAATGCCCGCCCGATGCATAAGGTTATTTTTATCCCTTTAAGACTGGGGGTCAGTCACCCACCCAACCCCACCCGCACGCCTAACCAGTCCTATCACATGAGGAACTGCGTGGGAATATGGTGGGATGGCAGCCACGTTCTTATGAAGGAGAGAATAAGACAAAATACTAGCAAAACTAAACAGATTAAATACTCATGATGTTGATCACGAGAAGTCACGCAGAGCGCAACGTCTGGTCGTGGACCGCGTAGGAATCGTGCTTTTTGTGATTCCTTGAGGAAAAGTATCAACTTCATGATTATATATTTACAAAATTGAAAAGAATTTAGAAGATAACGATTGAGTTATAGAACTTGTAGAGCTGGCTTTCTGAGAAGCGGTGAATGCTTTAATGAATAAATAGTCTAACCCCGCCCTTAAACAACTATAAGATAAAAAGTCAAGGTAAAAAAGAAATAACCAAACTTCAATCTTAATTTTATACAGAATATGGGAGGTAAGGTAAAGCTAAAGTTAAAATTTTAGAGAAAATAACTTCACTAAAATTTACAGTTTAATTTTTCTGTAATAAAAATCTTGAAAAACTTGTAAGATGATCACTTGATGTATATCGACATAATCTTTAAAATAAAGTAGAAACCAATGCATCTTATTCTGTCATGATCATGATATAAGACGTTGAAATAGTATAACTTCAAGACAGAAGACACTAGAGCTGTGATGTAATACAAGAACACCTGACACGGTTGTATCGACGATGTGTGTGAGTGAATGTAAACAAAAACCATATCGACCAGTCGATTAACAAAAGCATTAACAACACTCGTAATAGCCACAACGATAATGCTTTCTAGATCCGTACAGTACATTTTGACTATGACTTATTTTGAATAAATTATATTTGAAATTCTAAGATTTCAATTTTACAATATTGACGAAATTGTTTTCGCAATATAATATATTCAAACTTATAAATATTGTGTCTCAAATCCTTATGTCAAGAACTGTTCAATACATTCTAAAATAATACTCCTTCCCTATTTCAGGGTGCGCACTAACTACGATTAGGGGAAATTTTGAGGGTGAACAAGATGCACCGTGAGGGGACTTACCGTAGCCGTGTCGGTGAGGGTGACGGTGGCAGAGGTGGGCCCGACATTAGATCCAGTATTTAAATTAGAACTGCCGGTCAACTGATTATTTGAACTTTGTTCTATGATTCTCTGCCGCAAAGCCAATCTTTCTAAACTTGCCAAACGATGTGAGCCTCCTGTTCCCTCTCGATCCCTCTCTCTTAAGCCGGTTGTACTTCCAGCACTAAACGAACCACTGTATTTCGGAAGAGTTGGTGGTGGAACTGGCCTAGCTGAGCCTCCCCTGCCTAGGAGCGATCCAGTAGAGGTGTACGAATAACTGCTAGGAGTTCCTAGAGTTGCAGTGCGAGGAGCAGCCCCTATCCCACTGAGGGCTCCATTGGTACCGTTGACGGCGCCCCCATTCACCGTCGTCGTACTGCCGTTCATCTCCTTAAAATATTCTGCGTCATGCGAACAATATCACACACTGAGTCACCGAGTGCGCACTACGATACGATCACGAGTTGAAGCGATTTAAGGTAGATGCGTTCAAGCCGAGTGCCTGTCGGAGGCGGTTTGACAGCTGAAGCGGCGCTTAGGAGGCGCGCGGGCGGAGTCGCTATAATACCCCGCGCTCGACGCCGCCGTCGCTGCTCTCCGCCGCCGCGACAACCCCACTGGATCTCAGGATTATTGCTATACGGCTATCAGACTAGAGGGTTGAAAATGCATTGTTGCTTGCTTATTCGTTGTCAAGGTCAACAGAATCATGCACATATAGGTAAGTAGATACACGAAGATAGCTTATCAGTTCGCCTTCCAATTTTAAGAAGATTGCCTGGGTGTAGTTTGTACTATTGCGTTTGCATATATTTATTTCCTTTTTTGCTATAAATAATTAACTGTATTTAGTTATATAAAAAATATATACAGTCTCAAATGTTTGATTAACTAAAATTACTACCTACAGGTCCATGATTACATGATAATATCATTGGATAATATGAATGATATATTTATAAGTATTAATTATTAATTTTACAATTACTCATATACAAACTTGTATTTTACTCATAAAAAATTATATTGATAATATGATGATCTGCTAGAAAGACAAATAAGATATTTTAAAAAACAGGACAAGTGCGAGTCGGACCTTCTAATAGACCTGGATATAAAATATGGTTTGAATTTCAATTTTGAGGTACGGGATCCCTAAAAATGCAATTTATGTTTTTGTTTTGTAATAAAATTGAACTCAAACTATTGCACACCATAAAAATAGCAAAAAATACATATTCAAAATATTTTGTTTTGCTTTCCATTTCTATTTAGGTCACTATTATGTGAGTTATTTTAATACCAACATTTTAGGATTACCGACTAAACCTGTCAGAAAAAAATATATGTATGTATTGATACGTATGTATTATAAATATTGGATATTTTCATTGAATTCCATTAGAATTTAGACTATTATCATCAAATACATTATTTCTACAAATTTATTTAATTTCACAATAGATTGGCCAAATTGATGTATATTATCTAAAAAGGGATAATATATTCGATATATTCATAAATATCCGATATTTTTGAACCCAGCTTAAGGTTAAAAAAGTACATAAAGAATATCTGTTTGTTATGTTATGTCCACTGAAGATAAATGAAGTAACAAATCAATCGATATGACATTGCGGTTTAATTGAGTCACCAGAAAGGAGTAATAAAATTAATATCATTGCATAATAAAATAACCTTCTCAGAAAAGGTAAACAACTAACGACAATTTATGCATATCTCCAAACTACTATATAATCAGAGTCATTCAGATTGGGATCTTTGCCAAAACGTTCACTTTAATTCATCGAAAGTGTAGTTTGGTTTGGCTGAAGCATCGGGCTTTCGTCCTCTGCTCTGTACTGACTGACCCACATTACGTTAGCTACCAGATATGAACAGTAGATAAGACCCTCTCTATGCCAAAGAGTTCCTCAATGGGTTTCAATAGTTAAAGGAAGTGACAGCTTAGTTCATTGACCTGACATGAAGACATAGTCGACGAACACAGAATAGACAACGGAAATACGTTTAAGGTATGCCGGTCAGTTTAGCTTTGAATTCGATAGAGCGTTACATTACATGGAAGTAAATGCCATTGTGGTTACAAGATGAAAACGTTTTTTTTTCTGGTCAGTCCTGGCCGTGACGTGTTTATTGAGGAAGCACGTGTTTGTCGCATGTGGCATTGGTATCGTGCCGATCGACCGCTCCAACGCGCAAGCGCGCTCGCACCCTCGATCCTGCGACTCGTCTGCACTGCAACCCTCCGATGCATCACGCATTGCCGCCCGAGGGAGTACTATTGCTTGTTGAATGTTTCCAGTAACACCATCGAAGGCTCACAATTATAAGAAATCTCCAAAATCTATGTGTCGATTGTGGCTGTCGAAAAATAATGTTATATTTTCATTCAAATTTAAGTATAAACTTATTATAAAAAAAATTATGGTAGTCATTAGCCCTGTATATTATTACCAGGCGCTATAAACACCCACGCATACAAAATTTTCTACTCTCTATTTTTTTTATTAGTTTCTTGTCGGATTTCTTATACTTATATTTTACCTCATTCGTCATCTTATAGCCACAAAGTAATGTGTACAACCGCTTAATAAAATGTTTACGATTAATTTATTTTAAAGTTTCAGTTCCAAAGTACCTATAACAAAGTTTTGCTGCTTGTCGCGTCACTTTTAAGGAGTAAGATATGAAGCGGTTGCTTATAAAATTACTGGATGTTAACTTTATGTCTATATAGATATGACGCACAAAAAACGGCAAAAAAAACAACGTCTGTTATATGGGAGCCCCTTTAAAATATTAATTTTATTTTAATAACTATTAATTTCTTATAATCTACAAGCAAAGAGCTATTCCATATTATTTCCAAATTTTTAGACGCAGTAGTTTCATCTATTTTTACATTTGTAAAAAAATGTAACCTTCTTTTTGGAGCCCTTTCATTTGATTATTTTTAATTTTCTTCATTTCGCCCTCCTCAAGTAAACCCCATATTCGGAATTTAATATTGACATTAGTTGCCGTGTTTCTGTGATCAGTCAAGTAGATTCCGAACAAATCGTCTGCCAGTCTATGACAAACAGACAGTCGAGAGATCCTATAAGTGTTCCCGGTTTTGCCTACACCCTCAAAATAGAAATCCTAGGATTTAGCTGGCTATTGCGCTGCGTTTCCTGTTCCTTGTCTTGAATGTTATAACACACGGTAGATATAAAGATTGGGGTCTTCCAGAGATTTTCTTGATTTTTCTGTATTTTTCGTTTTTTTTTCCTAACTTCATGAAACCATTTAAATAAAATTTGATTGATCTGACACCAAAAATAGTTTTGTAACATGAAGGTTTACGTTGTACCGAATTATCCATTAAATAAATTGGGTATTTATACAAATCAACATAGAAGACCGTTCAAATAAAATCAAGCATCACTAAAACCAAAGTTACCTCCATATTAAAAATATAATAGTTAAAATCGATTACTATAATAAATATTATGTACTTAGATTATTTTTATGAATTATCAAAAGTCTAAAATGTCTAATTAATTAAGAAAAAGTACAAATCAACTCTCAAGAATTAGTTACTCAAAAAGCAGAGATTTCAATGATACACGAAAAAAATAGTTTATAGTCTTTCTTAAAAAGTGTGAGTAGTCATTTAATTAAAGTGGTGCATTCTATTAGCGTTCAACGCCATCTGACGACGCGTTCCATTCACATAACGTAAGTATGCATATTTGCTATGCGAGCGTCATGAATATGCTTTGTAACTACTGTGGAAAGAGATAGGTACCGCAATATGACTGCCCTAGAGGGCGTTAACTACACTTCAATAGGTTTGTTTAAATTAAAGGAAGTATCGATTGTTATCGATCCATCAAATTTATTTAGTTTATCAATTACATTGTAATTATCTAATAACTTACAGACTGATAATAATAATTGGATAGAGCTATAAACAAGTACCTTCTACTTGAAGTAAACTTGCACATGGTGAGTATAATATTCTCCTCAGATTACAGAGTTCTGTAATCTGAGTAAGTAGATTTATATTACATATATAATATTTATTTATTACAAAAAAGTAATTGAACGTTGTCGAGAACAATAAATTATATAAGATACCACTGTCTGAAAGTTCCAATAATAATAACAAAAAATACGGGCGAAGTGGTAATTTTATGAATATTCAAATTTGAAGCTGCCAGACAAAAAAAGACGTTTTTATGGTAGCCCCCCATGTTTTGAAATTCAATACTTTTTTAGTTGTTCCAAGTTGTTCTAGTTGTTCCTAACATTGTTCCAAAGTATTATTTGAAAAAACTCAAATTTGAAGCTGTCAGGCAAAAAAAACCGTTTTTGAGATAGCCCCCCATGTTTGGAAATTCGTTATTTTTAAAGTTGTTCCAAGTTGTTCTAGTTGTTCCTAACATTGTTCCAAAGTATTATTTGAAAAAACTCAAATTTGAAGCTGTCAGACAAAAAAAAACCGTTTTTCAGATAGCCCGCCAAGTCAAGTCGTACTAGAGACAATAAATAAATCAACAATAATTTTAAACAATGACGATTGTATCAGTACAACCGTGGGCTATATCGTTCCAATTTCATTTAATCATTTTGAATAAAATTAATAGTTATAAGACAAGAAAACATTACACTATAGGGTAAACTCCCTAATTGTTGGCACTTTAAGAGTAGGTTCCATGTCAGTCAGACATTAAATTACCATAAAATCACATCTAAATGAGTTAGTACACAACACATGTAACAGTATCAAGAAAATATAGTTCAATCTTTGTTTTCATAATAGTACAGTCAATGAAGGCAAAAATCAGCTATAACCTCCGATTTCGATGAACCTCCATCGATTTTCATGAAAAATGGTGATGAGGTGGGGGATACCATATGAAACAAATGTAACATAGTGCCAACTTGCGCTTTTTCCCTAGGGGTAGATACCACCCCTTCTCGGGGGTAAAAATTATTTTAATAAAAATAACTCCAGGAATCGATTGAAAGACAAACTCTAAGCAAAAGTTGTTATATTAAGTTTTCGAAATAAATCAATACTTTCTGAGTTAATAATGATCAAAGATTGTGATTTTGCGTCAAAAAATTCATGTTTTAAGCGGTTTTTCATAAATATTTCAAAAGCTATGAGTTTATATAAATTATTATATTAATATTCGGTTACTATTCGGTATTCGGCCTATTCGGCTGCTTTTATTATATTCGGCCGAATACCGAATACTTAAATAATATATTTTGTCATAGAGAAATAATTGGTAAAATGAAAATTAATATCGATTGATTACGTAGGTATATATTCATATTTTCATTTCTGTTATATATAATCATTAAAGTAGCCATTGGTACATAATCATCTTCTGAATTGGAAAAATGGAGGATTCTATGTATTTGAATTATTGTGGTAATCAAAATTTAAAAGGGTTTAAAATAGGTTTTAAAATTTAAAAGGTTCTCATTTCTTTTATAATCATTTTTTAAGTAGTCATTGGTACATAAAACAGGAACATATTTTAATCATTTTCTGTATTAAACAAGTTAAGAATTTTTCTATGCATTTAAAAATTATTTTAATAAAAATAACTCCAGGAATCGATTGAAAGACAAACTCTAAGCAAAAGTTGTTATATTAAGTTTTCGAAATAAATCAATACTTTCTGAGTTAATAATGATCAAAGATTGT